TCAATCAATGTTTTCGTCAGAAAATGTCTAATTTCTGTAACTTACACTGAACAGTTAATTTCGCCGAGGCGTTCACGTGTCCCAGCAAATTTTTAGCTCTACAGTTGTAAACTCCGTCGTCTCCAGGTCTAACGTCCTTAATAATCAGAGCGCCACTGGACTCGACCACGTGACGTCCAACAGGAAGGGACGAATTCAGCCTAGTCCACGTGACTTTGGGACTTGGATTACCATCCGCTGTACATTTTAACATGGCTGTATTCCTTTCATTGACTGTCGTGTCAACAGGACCCCGCAGCAGAGATGGAGCCGAGAGGGACTGGCCCGGCTCGCCTTTCATTCCCGGCGGGCCTCTAGGTCCCACGGGACCGGGGTCTCCCGGCATTCCAACACCCCCCTTTATGCCCATCGGGCCTTGAGCTCCTGTTGGTCCATGTTTACCAGGAGGTCCGTTTAAACCGGGTCTCCCTGGGGGCCCCGGTCTCCCTCGGGTTCCTTGTTTCCCTCTCCTTCCGGTGTTACCTTTTGGTCCTGATCGGCATAGCGTATTATCTTTAGCACAGACTTGGTGTTGCAGAAGAGCAAGTTCTTGTTTGATTAGCACTTGAACTTCCAAGGCTGTTAGGGTTGATTTCTGTTGTGAATCAACGGGTGAAGAGCGTTTTGTTCTTGAGATGGCATCCTGTTCGCCTGAAGAATTAAAGTCATTTATTGAGACATTTCCCCTTCCTATTGGACTCGCTCTCTACAAACATACCATCAGCCTTGTTACTTCGTACGTAATTGTGTTATGAGAACTGAAAATTTTACTAAAGGGAAAGTCACGCATTATTTCTGGAGGGAGAGGCGCGCCACAGTAACCGATAAAGAGGGGGGACATGGGGATTTGCGGTGTTGATGTTTTTTTAATGCGGTGATGCGGTGAATAAAATCTCAACATGCGGTGTTGCGGTGATCTCAAACCCTACGGTGTGCGGTGTTTGTGTTTTTCACTCTGCGGTGTCCGGTGAAATGAAATTATTTGCGGTGCTAGGGGTTTTTGATTTACCTTTCTCAAACCTTAGCATGTAAACTTCGTTAATCCATGCTAATTTATGACAAACACATACCATTGAGGTTAATAATTTGTAGCAAAATTCAGACCATCACTGTCTAGTCAATCTTCAATATGCTTCGGCCGCCAATCCGAAGCTGTTTTCATTTATACGTAACTTGACAAGTAACTTGACCTCTACCACCCGGAGTTCAGTGTTTGGTAGACACGCGGAGGAGCGAGGACAGAAACAATCCTGGAAATTCTGGAAAAGCCAAGGCCGAATAT